GTATGTGAGAGAGTGTCTGTGTATTGTATGTGTTTGTGTATATGTGTGTGTGAGTGAGAGAGTGTTTGTATGTGTATAATTACGTCTCTATTAAACAAACCACGTACGTGAACTAGAACAACCCAGACACCCACACTCCCAGAGACAGCGAAAAAAGTCTAATATTCGAAGTTCCTTGTGTACTTATCCTCCATCTTATCCGCCCCTTCTCCTTGCTCCTTTATCGAGAAATAATTTCTTTTCCTCGCACCCAGATCCCTTGCGTGTCGGGAGATATGTCCAGCGGCTTAATGGTTTCTGCTCTTACCCCCTCGAAATGATATATAGATATGTGTGTGTGTGTGTATATATGTATATATATATATATATATATATAATATATATATATATATATATAATATATATATATATATATATATATATATATATATATATATATATATATATATATATATATATATATTATATATATATATATATATATATATATATATATATATATATATATATATATATATATATATATATATATGTGTAGTGCTATGTGTGTGTGTGTGTGTACATATATGTATATATTGTACACACACACACACACACACAACACACACACACACACACACACACACACACACACACACACACACACACACACACACACACACACACACACACACACACACACACACACACATATACACATATATATATATATATATATTATATATATATATATATATATATATATATATATATATATGTTTATACACACATATATATGTGAATATATATATACACACACACACAACACACACATATATATATATATATATATATATATATATATATATATATATATATATATTATGTATGTATGTATGTATGTATGTATATACATACATATTTTCCAGCTAATATGATCATATTCTCCTCGACCATAATCGCTGTTGCATGTGACGATCCTCTTCGTAAATTTGCTGAAAGAATGACTCAATTTTCTACCCCTTTCTCTGATATCATTCTTTCCATTTATGGAGTATGTGCAATCTTACACTCCTCTGTGTATGAGTGCAAGAAGGCAGCCCCTGCTTGCTCATTTATCGTCTTATAAATCCCCCTCTTAAAAGATAATAATAATCCCATGGCTTTACACCAACCTCCTGCCTGGCATTCCACATGAGAACCACCAGCCACATACCCGGGAGTGAACGCGCCAAGTCACTCACGTAATCTCTTGCAGGTTCTTCCGAGACTTAATTTCCTCAGCTTGACCCTCGAGGTAATACGTGGATGCTGCTGGTGTTGATGCTGACTTCCTGCCTCCTTCTTCAGGATGTGGTTCGTAATATCTGTGGAGGAGGAGGATGAATTCCTCTTTCTTCTGGATGTGTGTGGATGATGCTTTCCTTCCTTTCTTCCTTCTTTTGGAGGAGGATGCTGTCTTCCTCTTTCTTCTATAGATGTGTGGATGATGCTGCCTCCTCCTCCTCAAGATATGTGTGGATGCTGCTTCCCTCCTTCCTCCTCCTCCAGATATCGATTCGTAATATGTGTGGAGGAGGATGCTGTCTTCCTCTTTTTTCTGGATGTGTGGATGATGCTGTCTTCCTCCTCCTCCAGATACGTGAGGAGGATGCTGTCTTCCTACTCCTGCTCCTCCAGATACGTGAGGAGGATGCTGTCTGCCTCCTCCTCCTCCTCCTCCTCCTCCAGATACGTGAGGAGGATGCTGTCTTCCTCCTCCTCCTCCTCCTCCTCCAGATACGTGAGGAGGATGCTGTCTGCCTCCTCCTCCTACACCTCCAGATACGTGAGGATTATGCTGTCTGCCTCCTCCTCCTCCTCCGGATACGTGAGGATTATGCTGTCTTCCTCCTCCTCCAGAAGCCGAATCGTAGCATGTGTGCAGATGCTGCTGCTTCTGCTTCTGCCTCCTCCTCCCTCCTTCTGTAGGAACCGGATCATAATATGCTCATAGGCGGCCTCGTGCGAGCAGGCCCTTTGATCCTATCTCGCCTCCGTCATCGCCAGTCGTCTCACGCACGCTGTCCCTCGCCTGGGGATGAGGGTGAGGGGATGAGGGCGAGGGGAAGAGGGTGAGGGGAAGCGCCAGCGCCGGCGGTCGAGAGTAGCGAAGGAAGGGAAGGAGGGAGTTAAGATAGGAAGGGGGTTTGATTTACGGAAGGAAGGAAGGAAGGAAGGGGCTGAGAGGAGAGGTTGGAACGAGACGGGAATTCGGGAATCTCGTCGACTCGTGTGCTGTAAAAATGTGTAGCCTGTACGCCATTTTATGACTCCTACAGTTGCACTACAAATTTTGTCGATCTTGAATTCGGTCTTTTATCAGCTGTTGAAATGCTCTAACAGTCTTTTATTTTGTATGATTTCCTTTGGTTGCACACACACACACAACACACACACACACACACACACACACACACACACACACACACACACACACACAGACACACACACACACACACACACACACACACACACACACACACACACACACACACACACACACACACACACACACACACACACACACACACACACACACACACACACACACACACACACACACACACACACACACACACACATATATATATATATATATATATATATATATATATATATATATATATATATATATATATATATATATATAAATAGAATTTCGCTCTCTTTACGTAACCAGGTGACATAAACAACTCGATAACTGAAGTCACAAAAACGTTAAAAGAAGAGGAACGTACACCGGCCATAGACTGAGAACCTTATATAACGTAAGAGAAAGTTTTGTGTCCAGTTTCCATCTTAAAAGAGACACATATTTTCGTATAAATGAGACACGTCATGTTCGGTTCCGTATGTGCAAAAGTGAATAAAATAGGTAATGAAAATGTCATGTTATATGTGCTTTGATTGCTTTTAGGAACATTGGGAATATAGGGTCGATAGGTAGTATAAAAAAAAAATGGTTTTGACATATTTATAGATCACTCAAAAATGCTTTCTTATACTACCAATGACTCGTTGCTTCATTTTTTTTATTTTTCGTCGGAAAAACTCACTCGTTTTGGCTAAAAATGAGCGGTATCATTTTAACATAAAACAAGAATCATCGTGTTTGTTTGTTCGTTTGTTATACCATGCAACATATATATGCAAATATCCTCATATGTCTTTTTGTTATTTTCCTTTTCTCTTTCAAGGTAAAAATATGTATGTTTTTTTGTTTGTTTTTATCTATAAACTTAAGTATCTCATTATCTGCTTTTATGTAAGTTATATGTATATATATTTAATTCTTTTTTATTGAATTGTCTCAATATGTTACAAATATAATCAGATATTGTCTCTCTTTCTCTCTCTCTCTCTCTCTATCTATCTATCTATCTATCTATCTATCTATCTATCTATCTATCTATCTATCTCTCTCTCTCTCTCTCTCTCTCTCTATCTATCTATCTATCTATCTATCTATCTATCTATCTGTCTCTCTCTCTCTCTCTCTCTCTCTCTCTCTCTCTCTCTCTCTCTCTCTCTCTCTCTCTCTCTCTCTCTCTCTCTTCTCTCTCTTCTTCTCTTCTCTCTCTCACTTTCTTTCTTTCTCTTCCTCTCTCCTTTCCTTCCCACTCCCCCTTTCTCCCTCTCTCCTCTCCACCCCCTCCTCCCACTTTCTCCCTCTCTCCCTCTCTCCTCTCTACTCATTTTATCTATTTTTTTTTTTTTTTTTTTTTTTTTTTTTTTTTACTTCTCCCTCCCCCGACTCGCGAAGGTGTCACGGCATCACCCTTCATTCTTATTCATTGTCTCCTCCTTCGTCTCAGCAGCAATCGTCTCGAACTTGGCATGCATCACCTCGCCATCGCCTCGGGGAAGCCTCATTATTCTCTGAAATCTTGACGATGTCCTCATTATTCGCGCATACAGAAAAAAAATGAGGTATAGGGAGGGGAATATGAGGGGTTCTGTTGGGTTCTGAGTGTGTGTGTGTGTGGTGTGTGTGTGTGGTGTGTGTTTGTGGGTGGTGTGTTTGTTTGTGTGTGTGTGTGTGTGTGTGGTTTTCTCTTGTTTTTTTTTTTTGGGGGGGGTGATTAGTTTGTTTTAGCTTTGTCTCTATTTTTGTCTTTGTCTGCCTTTGTCTCTGTCTCTGTCTGTCTGTCTGTCTCTCTGTCTCTCTGTCTCTCTCTCTCCTTTTCTCTCTCTCTCTGTCTTTTTCCCTGATTTTGGTGGTTGTCTCTCTCTGTCTCTCTCTCTCACTCTCTCTTTTTTCTGTCTGTCTCTCTCTCTCACTCTCTCTTCTCTCCACCATCAGATTTTTCTAGATGTTTTGTAATATGATCAGAAATAATAATAAAAAGAGTATTTATCGTTTTTCTTCGTGTTTGCAATAGATTTTGGTGACGGAACCTAGTCCACATTGATTATACTATTATTATTATTATCATCATTATTATTATTATTATCATTATTATTATTATTATTATTATTTATTATTTATTATTATTATTATTATTATTATTAATTATTGAAAATTCGAGGATTCGTCGGTACGCGTCGTCATAGAAAACGGGAACTCGCTACGAAATTCATTCTGTGGTAGACTTGTGTATTTTGAATCCTGACTTGAATCTATTGACAAAAGTCTGAAATTGTTTTCCAGTGACCTCGGAAATTGATGACTTTTTGTGTGCGTATTAGTAGTGGAATCAGTGTGTGTGTGTGTGTGTGTGTGTGTGTGTGTGTGTGTGTGTGTGTGTGTGTGTGTGTGTTTGTGTGTGTGTGTGTGAGAGAGAGATGTGTGTGGTGTGTGTGTGTGTTGTGTGTGTGTGATAGTGTGAGCGTCCGTGTGTGTGTTGTGTGTGCCGTGTGTGTGTGTGTGCGTGCGTGCGTGCGTTCGTGAGAAGAGAGAGAGAGAGAAAGAGAGAGAGAGAGAGAGAGAGAGAGAGAGGATGATTGGGTGCGCAGCTGTATTTGCATAAGCACATGAACACTTGGAGGTGAACTTTTGCAGAGCAGATGTTAGTCATATTCGATCAACAACAAAGTCTAGTTGTTTTCTTGTGCAATTCTAAGGTAAGACGAAATTCATTTTTCTCTTTCTGTCTGTTTATCTGTCTGTCTCTCCGTCCTCTCTCTCTCTCTCTCTCTCTCTCTCTCTCTCTCTCTCTCTCTCTCTCTCTCTCTCTCTCTCTCTCTCTCTCTTCTCTCTCTCTCTCTCTCTCTCTCTCTCTCTCTCTCTCTCTCTCTCTCTAATATATATATATATATATATATATATATATATATATATATATACATATCTGTGTGTGTGTAAAGATATGTATATATTATATATATATATATATATATATATATATATATATATATATATATATATATATATATATCATACACTCTCTCTCTCTTATCTCTTCTCTCTCTCCTCTCTCTCTCTCTCTCTCTCTCTCTCTCTCTCTCTCTCTCTCACACACACACACACACACACACACACACACACACACACACACACACACACACACACACACACACAACAAACACACACGAAACACACAGAGAAACACACACATATAGAAAAACATAGACACACATTATTGCCTATCTCTTTTGTTAGTGATGATAAGAGTCGTTTCTATGTCCATATTTGGCATCTTGCTTTCTTATTCAAGGTCATAGTGCATTTCTTCCTTTTTTTGTCTAAAAGGTCCTAAAGCAAGATGTCTCTACCGCGCCTGGCGCTCTTCCTCTTCTGCTTTGCCATGACAGCAATGACAGGTATTTATTCACTCTTTGGTCTTGCCAATAAATGAATCACATGTCATGAACAGGATGCATATCTGTTATAATGGTTATTCTTTGCGTAAGAAGTCCTGGCGGCAGTAAGGCACTCAATGCTAAGTTCTGTAGTTTTATGGTGTTTGTGGTTTAATGTTTCTGTTGTTGTACAAAGAAATAGCATTGGTATTACTTTTTTAATAGGTCGTATTACTTTCTAACGGGTCATATCAATGTTATTGGTATCCTGTAATTTCGTTTAGATAAGATTCCTAAAAAGTGCATTAATCACTGTATAATAAATACAATGTGGGATATTAGGGGTCTTCTGAAGGTGCATTTTTGTACGGATTTCGGCCGTTCCCTCGGGAGGATATCCTTACACTGGTCCCTACAGAAGACCCAGTTCCCACTTATGGCTTCAAGTAGTCACCAGCATTTCGTGGCGCCCATATCCTGGTAAACAATCTCTGCTCATGGACTAAAGTATGTGGGGGAGGGGGACACTGCCACGTTACTGAAGTGAGGCAATGTGACAGGGCTACACCACGCATTAATAAGCAGAACTAGGAATGACTGAGATGGCATAGAGTTCAGATCGAAAGGGCAATTTAAGGCGTGATCGCAGAGTGACATGGTGAACAGGGGAATGGATGATGTGGCAGAGTTTCATATCAAAAGGGCATTTAAGGCGTGCCCGAGAGTGACGTGGTGAACAGGGAGGCGAAGTTGGGTATTTAGTGGACTTCGGCCACCACCGAGGAAGGGTAATGGAGTGCCTACCGGGAATCTGCAACTCCTATACACGTCATGAACAGACACCAAAGTAGTTTTTTTACACGCGAGGCCTGACCTTCATCCTGCAACTGTCAGCACCAGACAAGCAATGCAAGTTGTGAATGTAGTGCAAAAACGGAGGTAATGAAAAGAGATGTATTAGGAATAAGCGACACGAGATGGACAGGAAGGGGGAAATGCCACACTGAAAAATGGAATGTATTGTCATTCAGAGGTGACCAACATTTAAATGGGTTGGGCATTTTTGTGAATGGAAAATACGTTATGCAAGATCAAGATTCGAGGGCATCCTTTAAACATAAATGTGCTACAAGTTTATGCACCAACTGCAGTATCATCAGAAGAAGAAACTGAGACATTTTACCAACAACTAAACGAAACCACAAAGCAATATAAATCGCAAGGAATCCCTACAGTAATGGGAGACTTCAACGCCAAAGTGGGGAAGGCACAACATGGAAAAGCCATGGGACTTTTTAGTATGGGGGAATGCAACGAGTGTCGGTCCACGAAAAATTGGCTGTGTGTGAGAAAAAAAAAAATGAAAACTAATTTAAGCATCACCCAAGGCGGCTCTGGACGTGCAGGTGTGCCGGAGACACCTGCCGCAACCAAACAGATTATGTTGCAATTATCAGACGCTTTAATAATGTTGTAACCCAAACAAGAACCTACCCTGGAGCCGATTGTGCTAGTGATCATGTGCCAGTGATAACAAATATGAGAACAAAACTAAAAAAAAACATTGAAAAAAAAAAAAAACTAAATATAATATGTAAGTTTACTAAGTAAGGATAAAGACTTGCAGGAGAAATGTGAAGTAGAAATTAGGAATCATTTTAGAAATCTAGAAGAGGTCTGGAAGGATGCAGGATGAAGGGATGGAAGGCAATACAGGACGCTGCACTAGATACAGGC